CCCCGATCGCCATTTTCGCTGTTTACACTGACGTTCTTGCACAAATGCTTTTGCGCAAGAGGGCTTTTGCCCGAACGGGAGCAGCATAGCATTTCTGCAAGAACACTGACAATCTTACATGAGATCGTCAGTGTTCTTGCGGAAATTCAAGCAGCCAGTGAAGACAGCTCGCAAGTTTTTCCACAAAGGCAGCTGCCTTTGCGGAAAAGCTTGCCAGTCTAGATGCAGCCATAGGGTGTGAATTACATTATTATATGTGTATGTATACACAAGTAACTACTTGGTACCTTCTTTGAAAGCCATATTGATTACATGGAAAATGCCACAATATTAACTTCACCCTAATTACTAAAAGATATGGCTTTGTTGTACTTTGTTTTTCACTGATAATTAAAGTAGTAGACCCTGGTGAGGGCTGCAGTTGGAATCATCCAGGGAGAAGTATTCTTCTGATATTTTTGCCTGACATTGGAACATGCTGGTACACTCACAGTGTAGCCAATGTCATGTTGGTACCAGTAAATCATTCTGAGAGAGAACTAACAAAGTAGCAGCCAATACAATAATAGCCGCACAAACTTGATTTGTTTAACTGGGTAAGATGGTTAGAGGGCAGCAAGATAGTTCTTGATTTCTGTATTGCCCATTGCCTGAAGGACTCCACAAAGGGCAGCTTGACTGTTGAGAAGAATATGCTGTAATAAAAGAATATGACCAATCATCACTTATACTGAAGAACATGTAAACTATTATAGGATATTGCAACTGCCAAACAAATGATTGGTATAGAAAAGGAAACAAACCTACTCACCTATCTGAACTCTGTATTCCACTAGATACAAATACTAGGGATGAAGACAACAATACAGGATATATTGATGGCAAAATACCACTAAGGTTTAATAAAGCTAGTAGGGACTGTCCGCCTGACATTCGAGTGGGACCGAGGCCCCTGAACCTCACTACTGGCAGACCGCAAGTAAGAGTTTTATTGGAGAAAAATTCCAGCCCCCTGGACAGGACCAAGCATAATGGTCTTTAGCCCCCAGTCACCTAGCTGGGGCAGACTACAAGCAACACACGAGCCTACTGTTCTAGGGATGACTGGTCTCCAGCGCAGAGTTGGAGATGGTGACAGGTGGTCGTGGGACCCAGACCCACCCTGCTTCACTAGGTCCTAGCCCAGGGCTCAAACAGTGATGGATGGACACGTTGACGCACTTATGGGCAGCAGAACCAGACTAGTCTCGTAGCCGTAGGCTACCTTCTACCACAGTTTATTTGCAGGGCTCTGTGGTCCAAAGTTCACCTATTTCCTCTGGGTACTCAGCTGCCGGCAGCTCCATGTGGTCCACAAGGCATCGGTCCACTCTGGGGCTAGGCCATGCTCTTGCAGAGGTGCCTCTTCCCTAGAAGAGATGTCCGTTCTCTCTAGTGGCTCAGCAGAAAACTGGTTGTTGAATCCATTTACTTTCATATTGATTATATGACTGAAACTCCAATTCACTTGTATTAAAAGAAAAGCACTGCATTGTATAAATACTATAGGAATTGTTTTTGGCTAATGAGTTTAGCAAGTGAATTGATGACTTCTGATGTATTTAATTATTCAGAA